GTTGCTCAATAAAACCAGAATGTTATGAACACAACTTTCAAATGTATGTAGTTTGTTTAAAGCGAAAATATTAATATATGTGTTTTGTGCCCTTACAACCTTCTTAAATAACACGGGACCAATATACAATAAAATTAATCTTAATTCAAATGCTTTCAATTGAGCAACTAGTTTACGCGGCTTGCGTTGGAATTCATATAATATCCACTGTGTTAACCATTGAATTCTTTTATCAAATTCGCGTCGATAAGATGGCTTCAATTTTTTATCACTATAACCAAAATACCACCTATCTAAATACAATTTTTTCATTATACCCAACAAGCTAAATGCATATGTATCCAAGAGGAAACAGAGGTGGCTCAATAGAAAGCAACGATGATTGTCCAGTATGATGACATAATTGTCGCTGATAACAAAACGATTAATCGGTTCTCTTCTCACAAGATACATCACATAGATGTACCACTTTTCTATGATTTTTTTTCCTAGAGGTTTACTATTTCCGCTAAAAATGCAGGAAGAATTAGGAAAAAGAACAAAAGAAATGTTAGAAAATCGTAAGAAGAAACGTAAAATATATTTGAATAATACAAGTACAGAAAATAGTGAAGAAAATAGTGAAGAAAATAAAGAAAATTAATATTTATTGAATAAATAAAAGTTGGATCTGTATTTACCGTTCTCTTGTTCTAATAATTGTTTATTACATTTAAAGTTTTAATAAAGCATACTTAAATAAAAACATTGTGTGCGAGTTTCCATATAGTGTATAGTAAGTTTAATAGTTAATATTTAATAAAATTATATCTAAAAAAAATTATCAAAATGAAATTATCAGAAATTATCAGAAATTCTTATTCCAGTATGAGAGAGAGAGAGAGAGAGAGAGAGAGAGAGAGAGAGAGAGAGAGAGAGAGAGAGAGAGAGAGAGAGAGAGAGAGAGAGAGAGAGAGAGAGAGAGAGAGAGAGAGAGAGAGAGAGAGAGAGAGAGAGAGAGAGAGAGAGAGAGAGAGAGAGAGAGAGAGAGAGAGAGAGAGAGAGAGAGAGAGAGAGAGAGAGAGAGAGAGAGAGAGAGAGAGAGAGAGAGAGAGAGAGAGAGAGAGACGTCTCTGATGTTATTTTGCTATTTGAGTTTTGTTAGTTGTAAACAGATATAAACCAACTATCATTTACAATTTGCTGAGTTTTAGTTGACCAGAAACTAAATAACATAATATGCTCTATTAGTATATTATATATTGAGAGAGAGAGAGAGAGAAAGAGAGAGAAATCATTTCATCAAAGTTATTTTTGGCTAGTTTTTAGCTAGTTTTGGAGTATGAAATAGGAACTAGGATAACTTTAGTTTTGACTGACCAGAAACTATATGGCATTTACAAATCATATCAGCAAAGCTTTTTTGGTTAATTTTTGGCTAGTTTTTGACTATGAAATAAGAACTAGGATAAGCCTAGTTTTGACTGACCAGAAACTATATAGCATTTACTAATCTATTTAACTCAATAAGTTTTATACTACTTATTAACAAGATTTCTCTAAACAGAATTTTCTACTCAGAAAGTTTCTGTTACTGAATAATTGATGTCTAGTACAACCTAATTAGCAAAAAATGATTCTGGTTAGTAATCAGTTTTTACGAAAAACATTTCTACTCGAGTATAGTTCTATTTTTTATTTAATTTATTTGAATTCCGCACATCTTTTTATTTTTACTATTTAAGAGTTAAGATGTATTTTAACTTAAATTATGTTTCATCTAGTACATTGCTTACCGAATATCATTGCACCATTGTAAAGTGTGAAACGAAAATATATGATTAAATTCAGAAATATATTTCTTAGGTAAATTTTTAGTTTCAATATTCAATACGTCGAATTGAAGCCGTTTTTCGTCTTTAAATGTTTCATTTGCATATTTGATCATGCTCTCCGAAATATCCGTACCTTCGCAAAAGCATTTAATTGAACAATTATTTATAATGTCAATTCTTTCCTCATTATAATTTTACAATTTATTATTCTTTTACCAATTATTTGTCCATATGAGTCTATACTTGGTAAGAGAAAATCCTTTGTTGTATCTCCAGGACCGCAACCGATGTCCATACATTTTCCACTTATTTTCACTAGACTCTCGGCAAACTCTTCAATTATAATCAATATATTAAATCTTTGAAATTTATTAAACGCGATGTAATCTTTTGGACTTGCCATGACTTTCTCAACTTCAGTACTGTGATTTTAGAAGTAATGTGCTAGAGCATTATCTCCATAGGTTTATATACTCTTCGCCACCTTAATAAGATATCAAGGTATGTGCGCGCACGCGCGTACACACACACACACACACATACACATTAAGCGGTGAAGTTTAAATAACATAATTGTTAATTTTGAAATAATATTGTCGATGAAAATGTTTAATGCCTAGTTGAGCCAGCCATTGTATATGTTGTACGTATGAAAATTGATTTATTCTATTAAATATACATACGTTTCGATCCACGATTCGGATCCTTTTTAATATATAGTACTGTTTGTAGTCCGTCTAAATATCGCTTTGATTACGGCATTATACTTCCTGGTATAATGATAATCAAAGTGCGCAATGGAATAGAGCAATGTTAACTATTCTATCTTTAAGATTCATTAGATAACGATTCATCTGTTCATTCAGTGGTCGAATTGGTTAAGATATTTATTACGGAATGTAGGGAGGTAATATTTTGGCTGAGATGATATTTTTGCAATAAATTATTTACAGTTTTTTAGGATTTTTATCAATATCAACACTCTAAATTTTTGGGAGTGAAATTTCACTCCAAGAAAATTGATAGTTGCGCCAATCCGACAAGGAGTGAACTTCACTTCACTCCTCCAGGAGTGAATTTCTTAACCTAACCTAAAAAATCAACTTTAATGATTAATATCTCGTTTCGCGAGACAGAGCGACGCTTTCTTCTGCCATATTCGTTCATTTTGTGCAAAAACACGTCGAACGAGCCTAATAATTTTTAGATTAGACGTAAGAAGGCTGAACTTAATATTTATCAAAGTGAAGTTTCAGTCTCTCCCTTCAGAGAGTGAAATGTGTTCACTCTCCACATAGATTGAAAATTGACTCCCATTTGGAGTGATTTTTCACTCTCTAAGAGTGAAAATTTCACTCCTGTCGGACTGGCGCAACTATCACTCTTTGTGATAGTTTGAGAGTGAAATTTCACACCCAAAAATTTAGAGTGAATATTATTAAATTATTTGTTAATTTATGATATTTTTATCTCAGTCCGATGCAAATTGCGAAACTAGATAATGTATCAGCGCCCGAATTTGTTGTATTGATTTTTTCGAGAGTTCGATTTAAAGGTTATAGATAATGTATATCAAATCACCGAAATATTATTTAAGTACTAATAAATAATATAAATTGTACAAAATAAATTAAGAAGTAAGAAATTTTGATAATAATAAAGTCAATATATATTATACACGTTTAACACAGACAGATAAATTACATCACTCGTTTGATAAGTGATAATGACAAAATCATCATATTTCTTGTAAATTAATATTAAATGTTTTAAAAAACAAAATAAATTAAACAATATCAAAAAGAATTCTTAATAAACAATATTAACATAAATATAAAACTCAGGCAAATAAGAGCTAGAACACAGTTATTATTTGTGTGTGATTATACAAAATTATTTTCTTCTTTAATTCATACAAGTCAAGAACAAAAAATCAACGTTTCGGTTGTTATTTGCAATCATCTTCAGGATAAAAAACTCTTAAAATCCGCAATCAATATAAAAATGTGTTAAATAAATTAATACAACAAAACGTGTTCTGAAATTATTAATTTTTCGACAGGGATATATCATAAAACATATTATATAGATAAAGAGAGTAATAAACATAATATTTAATATTTCAGGACTTCATCATCGCATTGCGACAATCTGATAAATAATACCTTTTTCAGATAAGAAAAAGAAACACGTTCAATATGGACTACAATTTATATATTAAGTTATTTTATAATTTTTTTCATTAAAATAAAATTATGGGATAGAAAAAAGAGGAAAGGAATAAAACACAATAAGATTTATAAGCCTTTTCAATTTATAACCGAATATATTATTTATAAATCTGACACATTTTATATACAATATAATATCATATGGACATAAAAATTAATTACGCTTTTATTACTATACATTCTTTTACTTTATAGGACATTTGTAGCACAATATCGCAGTACATAAATATTTTATTATATATACATTGGCGTGTATGGCGATCATGGCATAGAGAATTGCATAGCTGCTCTTTATGCCAAAGATCCAAATTCAAATTCCATTACACCCAGAATACACATATATCGAATTTTATTTGATCGTACCCTCTTGGAAGGCAATGGCAAACCACCAAGAACATCTTGGCCATGATAACCTTTTCTAATATACTGTTTGGAACCGTTAAAACTGTAGGTCCCGTATAAGTGGATATATTGGACTAGATGCATGTAACATTACATATACATATATATACATATATATATACACATACATAATATTATATATATATATATATACATATTAATAGTTACAATAAATTAATGGCGCGAAAATATACAGTAATGTTATGATGTTTCTAAGAAAATAGTTAGATATAATATCGGAACATTCTCTTCCTTATTACTATCTATTTCTTTCATGAACTTATATAATGATCAAATAAATATTAAAATAAAATACAACATTTACTGTTTCTCTGATAATTACGCGCAATTCTCACAAAATAACAACAAGTAACAAATTTATGTTATTGCCGATGCGGTGCAGGACAAATACATTCGTTATCTAAGTGATCTTTAAGCCATCCAATATAATTTGTTAGTTTTGTAAATATTCCAGGGAAATGTGGTCTTCCACAACCACGTCCCCAAGAAACTAGACCTAAAAAGAAAGTATATATTTTTATTTGGCCTTTATAAATATAAGACGGCTGCACTTCTTTATTTAACTATACTCAGAAAAAAATTATTTTAGTTTTAAAATTAAATTTCGAAAGTTTGAAATTACAAATATATAAAATAAAATTTTAATTTATTATTATTAAATACGTACCTACTACTTCAAGCTGTCCGTAAATTCCTTTAACGTGTAAAGGACCACCGCTATCGCCCTTAAAACGAAAATAAAAATGAAAAATTCAGAAATAATATACGAAAAAATAGTATATTTTATTCTTTGAAAAAAATATTTTTAAATTATTGTTTATTATATTGATAGTTAATACGGCAATGTAATAAATTAAACCACGTCGTATTAATTTACATATAATAGTGAATACTAGAAACTGTATTAACGAGATCTTAAAGACAATCTTCCGTTACTATTGTAAATAATTTACACACGCCTAGACACATGTGCATACGTGCACATGTTTTTTATGCACTAAAGATATTTCTAATTAAAAGGTATCATTTGTTTTTATTTATTTCAAACTGTGGTTAACACTTACAAAACAAGCGTCTCGTCCTCCTATCGCTCCCTCCGGATGTAGTATGTAACCGGCACAAAACATATTTTCGGTGATACGATCCTTCGCATATCCAGCTTGATCGCATTCCTCTTGTGATAAGATTGGCAGATTGACTTTTCGCAATTCGTTACTTACCGGCTTGGTCTCTCCTGTTCGGCCCCATCCCACTGCAGTAGCGGACGCTCCAGTATAGTCAATTGTTTCTTTAATATTCAAATTCGAATTAATATATATTACGACCGATTGCATTAACATAAATTCTATTGAAATAAAATCTGCTATTTAAATGTTTAAGCATAATATTGGGATTTAAAAACGTATAATAAATTCAAAACTTGTTCAATGAAGAGAATTATTAATAATTAACAGCGTTCACGCGATTTATTGACTGTTATTTTACAGACAATGATTAATTTAGATGTCATTTAAGTAAATAATATAACAATACACAAAACATAACAATGCACACACATATTTATGTGTAATAATTAATTTATGAGAAAAACGTACCATATAAAAGGAAAGATTGAGAATAATTGAAAATCAGTGAAACTTAAATGTTAAACTTTTAGTAAATGTAATATTATATTAGAAATACTTTGTTGATGTTCAAAGTAACTTACTGCCTTCTGGTAAACATGCTGTTCGTACAATACCATTCACAGATACGGGTTCATCCATCTCTATGATTGCGATATCATTATTAAAAGTATAACTGTGGAAATTCTCATGAATAGTTACTGATTTAATACGTCGAACTATAGCATTTCTGCTTATCGAGGAACGATCACTATCCATCAAAACAAGTTTGATGGTTTTAATATCAAATCTGAAAATAATTTTAATCATATAGATATGTTGTAACATAATTCTGGAATTAAATATACGATTGTAAATGCTTAACACATACCCTTGCAAACAATGAGCCGCAGTAAGTACGTGCTTTCGTGTTATTACACTTCCAGCACAGTAAAATGTACCCTTTTTACTCATACTAACAAGCCAAGGGTATTCGTAAACGCTAGTAATATTGCCACCAACAATTCTCGTTTTTCTCCCAACCCCGCAAACTATAATGTGTTAATACATGAGTGTAACTTAAATAATATAATTAATACAATTGGACAGTTTTTATTTGACACACGCTAATTATTTACAATGATTCGCAAACCTAATTAAGTTTTCACTTAAAAGAATAATCTCGTTAAATCGAATCTTTTAATATCGTGTACATTATGTAAAAACAAAATTACAAAAATGAAAATAATTTTTTTATTACTTTAATACGTAAATTGTAGCATCGTGTATAAAATTATGCAGAGAAGAATAATTTTAATGCTATAATTTTATTTTATATTATTACTATGGATGCTTTTCATATACACGTATATTTACTAATTCCATTGATTTACATTAAAATTGAATCACGTTTATTATGTTGTGCATGTAACAGAAACAGATTGTTATATATAATTTTCTGTCGATATAATATAAGAGTATAAAAGATTTACGATCATGTTCTTATAATGTTCTCTGCGTGTTTCTTGCGTAGATTTCTAATTAAATGCACGATAATTAAACATTAGTTCAGATATTTTCATTTACCGCAATCATTGCAAACGTTTGGCTTTTTGGAAGGGAATGTAAACGCAGGCTCAAAATCG